TACAGCAGGGAACTCTTACTCTTGTGATTTTAATACTACTCTTTGTGATTTTAATATTCTGTGGTATTCTACTCTGCCACTGGGGTATGGTAACATCACATCTCACCCCAGACTTGTTAATAACACATACCTCTCATGTTTGCTGATAGCTCAGCTCTCTGCTCATATTACTCGTGTTTTAAACATAAGATAGTTTATGGATTCTTGGGTAGGGTTTTCCATTTTTTATTACAATTAATCTGAGTTTGAACAACATTATAGAAAAACTGATAGTTTTCTATTGCAAATCAATTGTATACCAGCACATATGTATTTGTAGAATGAAACCTGTTAATAAGCTGATGATTGTTAATAATATTCTTTTATTGCTGCTTTTTGTGATTACTTCATTAGCCAGTTTCCAAAAAGTATTATCAGAAGGCTGAGTTTGTATTGTTATTTAGCATACATGTGAAATAGTAGGCCTATTGCCTTTTTGGTGGGCGTGGGGGGGGGTTGTTTTGGTGTTGGTGATGCTAGGCATAGAACCCCAGGCCTATTACTTCTGACCTTTCTACCAAAGAAAAAAGGTATGTACAAAAGTTATTGTGAACTAAAATGTTTTAAAAATTTTACTTTTGCTGGTGTATTTCACCCCCACCCTGCACGCATTTTTTATTGGTACGTTATAGTAATACAGAATGGTGGAATTTGTTGTTACATATTTGTACATGCACACAATATAGTTTAGCCAGTATCACTTCCCAGTATGTCTCCCTTCCTTTCCTTCCTTCCATATTTTCAGAACAGTTTTTTGTTTTGTTTTTGCAGTATTGAAAATTGAACCAGTTTTTGTTTTGTTTTTTTATACAGGGAATTGAACCCAGTGGCATCTAATCACTGAGCCACATCCCTACTGCCCCCCTACCCCTCTTTTTGTAATTTGTTTAGAGACAGGGTTTCACTGAGTTGCTTAGGGCCTCCCTAAATTGCTGAGGCTGGCTTTGAACTAGAGATCCTCCTGTCTCAGCTTCTGAGCCACAGGGATTACAGGCATGTGCCATTATGCCTGGCCTGAACCTAGCTTTCCACGTGTGTGCCTCCTGCCCCAAGCAAACAAGAAAGAAAGAAAAAAAATTAAGATGTCTCATTCAGAGATAACAATAAGATTTCATCTTTCCTGCTAATCTGGAATACTTGGGATCCTGGAACACTGTCAGGAGAAAGCTTATGAACTACATTCAGGATTTTTTTGTCTACCTCGGGTACAAACGCAGAAGTAGCCTAAGTTTGCCAACAAGGTATCTTTCCTTACCTTTGGTTTTTAAATTGAGCAACATATATAACACTTATGGTAATTTGAAATAAGTATGATTTTTAATGATCTGTTTTTAGTGAGAAAAAATAATAGGTGAATGTTTAAATTTATAAAATGTTTTAAAATTCATTATGAAGGTACAGAAAAGTCATTGCAAAAGTTACTTTTACTAAATGTATTTAAGCTGAACAAAATTTCTTACATAACTGGTGTAATATTAGAAATGTTTTTTCTAGAACTAGATTGTCATTTTGAGGACTGCCCTGGATTTCACATGATCAGTGTTCAAAAGCAGCTGTCTTATAAAAAAGACATTGATACAGTGTATACTGAATAGTAATGTGTACTATACTATTGCAGTCCTGCCTGATAAACTCTGGTGTGTTGCTATTTGTGGTTGGTTATTGACAATTATTGTGACCTGTGTTTTCATACTCCAAAGAATGTAGTAGAGAAGACTCTTGAGTGCTTGTACTTGAGTGCTTGTACATATTTGTACATGCACACAATACAATTGTCCAAGTATCCTATTTTTAGGACAATCTGTAGTTTCATTCTTAATTAAATTAAAGGATAATATAAGCTCGAGATTATGAAATAGTCACAGAATTGAAAAGTTGGTATATTATTTCCTAGAAATCCAAATTTTGGAAGGGGAAAGAACTGTGTAATTTTTTGAACATAGGAGTAACAAGAAATGTGAGTTTATTCAAGGCGAGTTCATTTAGGGAACATAATCTGATTGACCAATGAATATCAATAAGTAGATCAGCAGTGATAGATGGGGACTTGGTACCATTTGAAATGAATGGAACCTATAAAAGGTAGAAATTTTGCAGGATAGGATGATGGTAAGCCTTTTAAATCTAGTTTTAATTGGGAATAGGATATGAAGGGCAACTGGCTATGTGTCTTTTAGAAAGGGGAGGTCCCTAGGTTATTTCTAATCACTTGAGGCCTGATTATTTTGAATTCAGGTCAGAAGTAGACCTACACAGCCTACTTTGAAGCCCTTCTACTTACTACAATGTATTTTTTTTTTTTTAAAGAGAGAGTGAGAGAGGAGAGAGAGAATTTTTAATATTTATTTTTTAGTTCTCGGCGGACACAACATCTTTGTTGGTATGTGGTGCTGAGGATCGAACCCGGACCGCACGCATGCCAGGCGAGCGTGCTACCGCTGARCCACATCTCCAGCCCCTACAATGTATTTTTATTTTAAAGTTATTCCATCAGAATTAGGAAACTATAAAATGCCTTGTTTCTAGAAGAACATACACAATTGTATAATACTTTATCACAATGGTTGATCTGAATGACTTGTTAGGGTCATATAAAAGTTAGTGCAATTACTATTTTTATTATGATGATTAAGCACTAACCTTACTGCAACCATATTTATTATTGACATTTATCAATGGGATTATATAAAAATTCATGTATTATAATTTTTAGTAGTAAGTGTGTGTATTCTAATTGGTAGTAGAACCAAGGGCATTGTGACTGTTTATTTCTGGAAAAATAATTTTGTAGTAGATTGTGAAATATTTTGGTTACAAACTGAATACAGGATAAAGCAGGAGCAATATACCCCTCTTAGTTAAAGAATGTTAAATTGCCATATTTCTGTCATAATTTTTCTGAGAAGTCAAATGTTACATTTTAAGTAGAGCTAAACTCCWCAATTTTTCTTTTCCCCTTCCCAGAGATAATAAAGACCCTACACTGATCCTGAATTTGTTGTATATACATTCTATACATGTTTTATACCGTTTTTTAAACCTAACTATATTAGTAACAATCATTATTTTTTAGTTTTTCATGTAGTTTTTCCATTGCACCACTGTTGGTTGATGGTCATGTTGATACATGTAGCAAATTAAGTTTCCAAATAGTATTTCATTAAATTCCTTTACTATTTGTATGTACCTATACTAGTATTTATTCCTACCTCCTACATCATGTTGACTCCAGGTCTTCAGCATTCTACTACTGAGCTACACTCTGTTCCCTGTAATAGTACTCATACTTATTTTTTGTTTTTATGTGACTTCTCCATTTAATATTGTGTTCTGAGATTTAGTCTTGTTGATATGTAGAGCTATAGATTTGTGTTTATTACTATAGGAGAAATTTTTAGAGGAATAAATTAGTTTAAGTGCTTTAACAGTTAGGTTGTAATTAATTTTGGATTTATTACAAATTCTGCAATGAACCTATTTCCATATGCAGATGTAAAAGTTAAATTCTCAAAAGCACAGTTTCATAATGGTTAGGTATGTAGATTGTCCACCTAGCCAGATATTTCCAAATTATTCTTCAAAAGTAGTCATACTACTTAGGAGCAGTGTACAAATTGCTGTTTTACATATCTTATCATCCCCTGATTTTATCAGACTTTGAGTTTTTCCAGTCTAGATTTAAATCAGCATCTCAATATTTTATTTAATATTTTAACCAAATTGTAATAAGATTGGGCATATGTTGTATTTATTGATCATTTGAGTTTTTCTCCTGTGAATTAAGAAGATCGTCTCTTTTTTAATGCTAGCATATTTCTAGAGTTCTGTTATATGTTTTGATTATTTAATCTTTAGTTATGTCTGTTTACAGATATCCTCTACCAACCAGTACCTTGCCTTTTAACTTTGTTAATTAGATCTTTTTGAAAATTAGGTCATATTTTGTTTCTTTCTTTTTTTTTTTTTTTTTAGAGAGAGAGAGAGAGAGATTTTTTTAGTTCTCGGCAGACACATCTTTGTTGGTATGTGGTGCTGAGGATTGAACCCCGGGCCGCACGCATGCCAGATGAGCGCGCTACCGCCTGAGCCACATTCCCAGCCCCATGTTTTGTTTCTTATTTAAGAAATTCTTTCCTGTTCTAAGTCCCAAAGATACTCTTTGTGTTTTAAGTGTGTATGTACAAATATGGAATTATATCATGAAAAAAGAAACTTTTACTTTCCCTATATAAAGAACTAGGCATTTTGAATAGATCAATSTAATTCATTAGAATCTCACTTTATTGAATGCCATAGCTTTATGTATCCAGTTTTAAGTTGTGAGGCTCTGTATTCTGTTCGATTGGTCTTTTGTCCATCTTATATTGCTTTAGTTACCGTAGTTTTATAATGAGTTTTGATACCTGATAATTTAAATTTATATCATGCTTTACTTTTCAGAATATCTTTGCTAATGGTTCTTTTTTCTGTGTGAACTTTTAGATGTTTCTCAACTTCTATGAAGAACCCTGCAGAGAATTTCATTGGGATGTCTTTGAATTTACAGATTTATATGAAAATTGCCATTTGTGTAGATCTTTATATCTCCCATACTTATTTATCTGTAAAGATTTTTTTCCTCTAGTATTAGCTTTTGTTGGTGAGTTTAGTTATGAGTAGTGCTTTTACAGAAAATATTTTTCTGTGACTGGAATTTTTAACAGAAATTATTTTTCATATATGTCTTATTTTAAAGTAGAAAAATTAAGGCAATTTCAGAGGATTTTTTAGGGGGGGTGCACAGGATCAGGGTACTTAATCTATATGAAGTGTTTTATTCCACAAGTGTCCTTCCTGTAGGTTCTGTGTGTGTGTCCATCTTTGCTTTTCCTTGATAATAAGTTAGTGTGTATAAGTGCCTTCATCTAATTTGGTATAGATACTATCTACTCTTGGATTTCACTCAGTTTATTTCCTTTTAGGAGACGCAGGTCAGAATGGAGATGGGCTGCAGACCGAGCAGCTATTGTGAGCCGCTGGAACTGGCTTCAAGCTCATGTTTCTGACTTGGAATATCGAATTCGTCAGCAAACCGATATTTACAAACAGATTCGTGCTAATAAGGTAAGGGATCAGTATCTGGTGTTTTCAGCCCAATTAAAAACTACCATTTCCCCCTTTCTTTTCATCCTCTTTCAGTAATTCTTCACTATGTCAAGATAAAAGGTTTAATGATCTGATATTATGAGCTGATGTTGGATAGTATACTGTAGTAAACAAGGCTAGAATATAATGTCTAATTGACGTGTGTTTAGAGAAGAACAGCATGGGTGTCTGAGTTAACATAAAACCCACCCCAAATAAAAGACTATATAATTAATGTAAACCATTAGCTGTCAGATTCATTATGTGTTCATGTCTAGTGAGGATTTTTACTATCTTGCTCTTTTGATTAGCTGTTTCCTGTTTTATTACTAAGCCTCTCTTGCTTGCTTGAGAAAAAATAGGGTTTGCCTGAACAATTGTTGAGGTAAATACATTGATGATGAGGAGTTTTATTTTGCTTTATTCCCCTGTCTGTGAAGGACTAATAAGCTACCTTACAGCTTTTATTTTTTATACTGACATTACATAGTTTTTCGTCGTGAAAAATCAACATAGGAGAAAGCTTTTTGCTCCAGTTTGAATTTGAGTTGAAAAGAAATTTGCACAGGAAAAAAAATCCATTCAACAAATATTGAGTGCTTACTGTGTAGCACCACTTTTCTCTGTGGAATGGTCACAGTAGTGAACAAAAATTCTACCTTCATGGAACTTTACATTCTTGCACAGTGTCTTTTGTTCTTAATATTTTATGAGCTTCATGACTGACAGATGGGTCTAGATAAAGTCTACTCCTAAAAATGTGTTAAGTATCTTTTTATCCTTAATGCTTGTCAAGGCCTTAAGAAAACTGCTTACTGTAAACAGTATGTGTTAGATTAATTAATAGGTCTAAAGTTAAAGGGTGATCAAATGACAAGATAAACAAAGTGAAAGTTTGATGTAAAAGTTCTGTAGCTTCCTCTATCTACTCTTTTAAACATTTATGTTAAAATTTCCACTAGACATTTCTCCTCTTCAAAAAAACAAAGTTCACTGGATAGTTCTAGGTTTTCCCCTTACATTGGATTTATGTATAAATCTCCAATAATCCATCTGAGCATATTATAATTGACATAGTCGAAAGGATTCACTTTTTAATAATTTGTTCCCTTAGGGTAGAGAACAGATTAAATCATGACTAACTGTAACAAGTTAGCTAGAAGATCTGTGGGTGTAGTGGTGTGTACGTGTAATACCAGTGTCTTGGGAGGCTAAGGCAGGAGGATTGGATGTTTGAGGCCAGCCTCAGCACTTGGTGAGGACCTAAGCAACTTAAAAAGACCCTGCCTCAAAGTAGAAAAGGACTGGGATATATGTAGCCCAATGGAAAGTGCCTCTGAGTTCAATCCCTGGTACTCCCCCATCTCCCACCCCCAGCCAAAAAACAAATTAGCTAGAACAAAACTAAGAAATATTCTAGAGATTTTAGAGGTGGTGATTATTTTGCTTTTCTTCATCTTCACAAAGGAAATTTTAAAGCCTGATTTATAGAGAGTGAACTGGAATGGTGACTAAGAATAGCCAGGAGATGACTGGATATTACCTATCCTGAGGAAAAAAACAGTCTTTCTGTGTCAGGGACGCCTCTTCAGTGTCTGTTTCTAAGTTATTTTAGCCAGTAGTTAGGTGGGAGTTTCTATATATGAAAACTAGAGTCTCTTGGTTAATACAACAGTCATATTTGTTGCTTCATCTGTTTTATATACATTCATACATAGATATGTGCTTTTATATATGTGTATATGTTTTGTTATATTAGTTTTTCATTATAAAACTACCATAGTGCTAGGCCCATTGATGCAGACCTGTAATCCCTGCTACTCAAGAGGCTAAGACCAGTGGTTTGCAAATTTGAAGCCAGCCTGAGCAACTAAGTGAGACCCTGTCTCAAAATAAAAAGAGCTGGGGATATAGCTCAGTGAAAGAGCACTTGACTAACCTGTGAGATCCTGGAATCAACCCCCCAGTATTCTGATTAATCAATGAGTTTATCATATTTCATAGAATGTAAGATGCACCATTTTTTTATGTACCACTCAGAGATTATTTCAATTAAACCAGGGCAAAGCAGTTGTGAAATGCATCTTGATTTAAAAGATGTTGAGATGTGGAAAAGTGTGGTTTAGTTAAAGTTGATGAAATACTGTGTATTAATTCAATTAATAGGATAAACTTGGAAATTACATAGAACTATGGGGGATCATTCCCTAATAAACTCAACTTGGTACAAAATATTCTTTAAAAACTTTTATTAGTTATTGATGGACCTTTATTCATTAATTTGTTTATATGTGGTGCTGAGAATCGAACCCAGTGGTCCATACATGCTAGGCAAGCATGCTACCACTGAGCCACAACCCCAGCCAAAAACATTTTTATATATATATTTTTTCCTCCATCATTTTTCTCAGCGTCACATAACTACTTTGTTTAAAGAATTTTGTTACAGTGTATCCTGAATATTTACTGTCACTTTTTGGAAAATTTTGTTGTTACTAACTATGTTCTTCTAACTTTTCTTGTTGATTATTTAAATTATGTTTTTTTTTTTTTAATTATAAGGCATGCCATGATAAACATCTTTACTTCAGTCAAAGACATAAAAACTTTTATGTGTTTGCTGCACACTATAGAGAAAAGTGTCTTGACAGTCCCTGTCAGTTTACAGATTTGGTAACTACGTATGAAAAGATAATCTTACTTTTGGCTCTTGCTTTATTCTTTGTCTCATCACTTAGTAGTAATGTCAGAGCAATTTGGGGAAACTTTTTAAAAACCTAAATATATTTCTCAATATCTGGAAAATATTCTAGAACTTTATGTATATACTGATTACTCAGGAGTCTTGATATTCAGGGCATAATATATTAAAGAAACACCAGACTTACTAATATTTCATTTTAATTCTGACTTTTGTTACCAGTTATATAATCTTGGTAATATAAAATCACTTATCATTTATGAGCCTCAGTTTCTTGGTCTATAAAATATGTCATCTAGATAATCTTTTATAAAACATTTTTTCTGCAGTTTCAATACAGTATCAATTACAAACTTCTGACAATAAAATTAGAATGAGAATCCCAGTAAGTAATATGTCAAAAAAAAAAAAACTCAAAACTTTTCAGATCATTCTATCATTTAAATGTTAGTGATTTAATGATTTGTTCATATCATTAAGTCATTTGTTTTTTCATCTAAATCTGTTAAGTTTCCTAAGCTGCCATACAAAGTATCACAAACTGGGTGACTTAAAACAACAGAAATTTATTCTCTCTTAGTTCTTGGGGTCAGAAGTCTAAAGCTGGGATGTTTTCAGGGTCATGCTCCTTCTGAAGGTTCTGAGGAAGAATCTTGCTTCTTCCAAAGTTCTGGTGGTGGCTGGCAATCCTTGATGTGCTTTGGAGGAGGCTGTGTCACTCTAGTTGTTTGTTGCCTTTGCCTCCACGTTAGCATTGTTTCTTTGAATATCTGTGTCCAAATTTCCTTGTTAAAAATGCACTAATTGGGKACTGAGGCTCAGTGGTAAAGSGCTCCTCTCGCATACGTGAGGCACTGAGTTCAATCCTCAGCACCACATAAAAAAATAAATAAACTGCATTCATCTATAACAAAAAATATACATAAAATTTATTTTTAAAAATGCACCAGTTGCAGTGTGTTTAGGGCCACTGTAAAGGGCTCATCATAACTTGATTACATCCACAGAGACCCTGCTTCCAAATAATGTCACATTGTTAGTTCTTAGCAGACATAAATTGTGAGGGAATACTTCAATCCAGCCTAATAAATAAGCAGTGGAATTTCCTCAGTGATATATTACCATGCATTTGGATTTTACCTAGACTATTCTATTATTTTACTAATAGAAACCTTTGAGCACCTGTACTGTGTGCCAAAAACTATGCTATAGGCATTTTACTCTTATCCACAGTTTTAAAGATAAACAAATGAAGGTTTAGAGATTAAGTAGTTTCTGCATGGTCCAAAGTGTATCATCCAAGTGAATCCAAAACCAAGGTTTGAGTATCTGGCCTCCAGAGTTTTGCTCAAGTTGGTGGTCACTTTTAAGTGCTTTGTTACTTTTCGGGTTATTGAAATCTAAGGGATTTTTTTCTCTGTGCATTAGTAGAGTGGATGGTGTTCCCATTCTGCTCCTAGGTTTACGTCATTTGCCTATGTTGTTCATGACACAATTCTAGGTTTGATAATCAGATGTTCAGTTATAACTTTGTCTTTTGGATAGAAGATTGGAGAGATGGTGGGGCTTTTATTTTTTAAGGCTTTACTGTATTAATTTTCTTAAAATGAAGATATTTGGGGAAGTATTTGTGAACCACTGCTAGGTGATTCTAATTTCCATACATCATGTTCTTTGCTATCAGAAGTTAATATCAAAAGATAATACCCAGCTGGCCATGGTGGCACACAACTGTAATCCTAGTGGCTCAGGAGGCTAAGAGAGGAGGATCACAAACCAGCCTCAGCAACTTAGCGAGACCCTGTCTCAAAATAAAAGGACTGAGGATGTGGTTCAGTGGTTAAATGCTCCCAGGTTAAATCCCCAGTTCAAAAAAAAAAAATCTTCCATGACACAGAAAGGAAAATAATATGTGTATGTATTGAATAATTTCATCTTTCTAATATTCTTCTGCATCCACATCTAATGCATTAAAATGCTTTATTATTTTCCATCTGTTCTTCTGACTGATCTGAGAAATTCCACAGCAGTTGCTAAGGACGGAAATGTTATTGAGGATAAGAGGTGGAAAAGCATTGAAAACACCAGGTAGAAAAATGCCGGTTAGCAGGAGCTTATCCTTTGTCTTCAAATTTTTATTTATTTATTTTCGTTGCAGGTGGGCAAATAGCTTTATTTCATTTTTATGCGGTGCTAAGGTTTGAACCCAGTGCCTCTCATGTGCTAGGCAAGTGCTCTACCTCCAAGCCCTAGCCCCAGCCTTTAAATTTTATAAATAGTTAAGGTTCCCATCTTAACCAAGTTATAGCTGTGTCTTCTTCAGGTAGCCCAAGGACGTTCTTAAGAAACACATCTGCAGTTACTGTTTTGTTTGTTTTAAAGACTGTGTCTGCAGTTGTGACCTTACCAATTCCATTGGTCCTTGTATAAAGCGGAAGCTTACCTTGTGAGAGTTCTGTAGGGCTGGGCAGGCCACATGATCCTGTTTCTGRCCCAAAGGGCTGGAGTGAAGAATAGATTTGGCCTTTAATTTTGTCCTTTATCAGTTGCTATCTCTTTCAGAGTACATTAACCCTAAGGCTTTTGGCGCTCAAACTGATGGCCATACCCATTTCTCATTGACCCAGTTGAAACACAGAATGCTATGGAATTCCATGTTTGGGTTGACTTGACAGGGTAGAGTGGAAGAGTTTTCTTAGCTGATAATAATCTTTCTTTTCATGGCTGTTAAACATGAATAAACTTTTTCCCAAATAATTTAATGGAATGTAACTACTTGTATACAAAAAAGGACATAAATATTAACTGTACAGTTTAATGATATATTTGAATATTTTAGGAAATTTCAAGTAATCATGTAAATCTCCTTAAAGCCTCACTTCCATCAGCCTCGTTAGCTAGGCTCTACCTCTTTTCTCTTTTAGGTCACCTTCTCTAAACTTCTATTATAGTGCTGCTAAACTTCTATTATAGTAATGCTTTGCCTACCTTTCTTATCCAAGGCTAGATAAAGTTAAGTTCCTTATGGTAGAATCTGTTTTTTAATTTTCTTGGAAGAGGCTAGAAACCTTGTCAGGTTCTCTGACTTCCTTCCCAACCCACAAGCATATTTGCAAATATGGTTGATTCTTTCTTCAAATATATGTCCAGTGTCCAGCCACTTTGTTCCAAGCAACTGTTTTTTCTGCTTTTGTTTGTCCTCAACTGACTGTGTTAGCACAGTAGTTAGATTGATCCTTTAAAACTTAATCATTCTTCAAATCATCAAATTTACCCCCATCTTAACTTTTGCATTGACTTTTCTCTAGATACTTGTAAAGTTTATTTTCATGTTTTTGTCAAATATTTAGTCAAATATCACCTTCCTGGTGTGGTTTACTCTGGCTGCCTAATAGGAAATTAATTCACTTCCACTTCTTAACCTTCTCTAAGTCCTTCTCTTTTCCATTTGACACCTTTCATATTGTTTGTTCTTACCCCAGTATTAGAATAATGTAAGGATTCGTTAGGGGAGATTGAGGGGAGAGGTCTCATTCTCTTCTGCATCCCCAGCACCTAAAAAATGTTTATGAATGGAACAGTGGTTAACTTAAATATAAGAAAATGTGGACAAATTATATATGTCAAACTTAGAAAACTTGTGCACAGCAAAGGAAACAACAGTGAAGAGACAACCTATAGTATGTGAGAGAATATTGGCAAACTGTTCATTTAACAGGAGAGTAATATCCAGAATATATAAGGGATTCAAGCAACAGCCCCATCCCAGGAAAAAAAATCTGGTTAAGAAATGGACAAAATGGATAGGCATTTTTCAAAAGAACATGAACAAAAGGCCAACAACTTGTATCATCACAATACAGAATGACTCTTATGAAAAAGACAAAAAACTTGCTGGGGGCAGTGGTGCATGCCTGTGACCCCAGTGGCTCAGGAGTCTGAGGCAGGAGGATCATAAGTTTAGAGCCTGCTTCAGCTATTTAGCGAGGCCCTAAGCAACTTAGTGAGACCCTTTCCCGAAATAAAAAGGAGTGGGAATTGTTGCTCAGTTAAGTACCCCTGGGTTCAATCACTGGTACCCTATCAAAATAAAACAAAAATAATAATACTGGCAAGAATACAGAGATAGGGGAACTCTAATGCACTGTTTGGTGGGAATGTAAATTGATACAGGTTTTATGGAAAACAGTATGGAGGTTCCTCTGAAAACTAAAAGTTAGAACTGCCATATGACCTGGTAATCCCACTTTTCCCTCCCCTATATTTTATTTTCCCAACCTCTGTAAATTTGAGGGGACAGCAATGTTACTGAAGTTGTGGCCCATAATATTGTATTACTCATACATCCTGCACTCTACTGGGGATTGAACCCATGAGTGCTATATCATTGAGCTACACTCTCAGCCCCCTTTTAATTTTATTTGAGACAGGTTTCCCTAAGTTCTCTGAGCTGGCCTTAAACCTGTCTAAGATAAACATTTCATCTTTTTACATCTCTTCTTTCAAAAAATTTTTGAATTAAAAAATATCCCAGAGGATGCCAGGGATATACATAGCTCAGTTGGTAGAATGCTTGCCTTGCATGCACAAGGCCCTGGGTTCAATCCCCAGCACCACCAAAAAAAAAAAAAAAAAAAAAGATCCTAGGGATGAATCAGTCTGGTTCAGTCACTCATACGAACCTATATCTCAGTGTTCTAGTGAACTCAAACTAATATAGTCAAAATTTTTAGGACTTTTTAAAAAGGAAATCTATATTTTAGGCTCTTCTCTGATGTATTCTGTTGGAGAACCATGACTGATCAGATCTAGAAGTCTAGTATGTATTTTTGCACATTACTGCGGATTGAATGAACCTGGCATATGCTAGGCAAATGCTCTACCACTGAGCTACATCACCATCCCTTTTTAAATTTTGTTTTGAGGCAGGTTCTTGCTAAGTTGCTATGCTGTCCTTGAACTTAAAATCCTCCTACCTCAACCTCCCAAATGCATGGGATTACAGGAATGTGCCATCCCACCTTGCTGGAAAGAGATTTCATGTGGAATATTTAATCCTATCCTGAGATAATAAGTAGATTTGATGACGGACCTGCCATATGTGTTTGATATATTCCCCATCTGATTCTAATAAGAGCTGCTTTTTTTTTTTTTTCTTTTGGTGGGGCACTGGGGATTGAACGTAGGGTTGCTTAACCACTGAGCCACATCCCTAGCCCTTCTTTATTTTAAGATAGGATGTGCTAAGTTGTTTAGGGCCTCACTAAATTGCTGAAGCAGGCCTTGAACTCCCTATCTGCCTGCCTCAGCCTCCTGAGCTGCTGGGATTGCAAGTGTGTGCTACCATGCCCATCTTTAATAAGAGCTTCTTAATCTGGTTTGATCTGTTCACTATTACTTGGGATGAATGTAAGATCTGAATTTGAAATTGTCAAGTGGGAACTTAATCTGAAGTATTATATAAGCTGGGTGCCAGTGGGGCATTAAAAAAAAAAAGTTTTTGATTTCTGATTGCAGGGACTCTTCCATTTTTGTTTCACTCCATTATTCTGCAATACAGTTGTTTGAGCTCATAGTTGACAGTAGTAGTACGTTTAATGTGGTAATCCTTCAGCCACATTTGTGATCAAGTTAACTAGAAACAGTGCATTGCTTATGTTGATCCAGTCCAGTCCAGTTGGTAATATATATAAAATACTAAAAAATGCCAGGCTCTGAATAAAAGGTGAATGACATGTCAAGTAAATCAGAACATTAAGGTGGAATAGTGAGGAAGCCTTTGCTGCCTTGCTGAATACCCTCCTACTACTAGGCTTTTTGTTCATCCATTATGAAGCAAATTTTCAGTTCAGCAAGTAGTTCAATAAAATGATACAGGTGCTTTAAAGTAGATTGGAAATCTATATAGAGCTTTTTTTTTAATCAAAACTCTGGAAACGTATATTTCAAAGTTACCATTAGTAGTATATTCTTTGCTTTATTGATCAGTTGGTTTTTTTTTTCTTTGGTTTTGTTTTGTTTTTTTTTTTTTACAGTGCTAGGGATTAAACCCAGGGGCGCTTTATTACTGAGCCACATCCATAATACTTGTATTTACTTTTCAGGCAGAGTCTCACTAAGTTGTGAAAGCTAGCCTTGAATTTGCCCATCCTCCTGCCTCAGCCTCCCTGTTACTGGGAATATGGGCATGTACCACCATGCCTATGTCAATTAAAGTTCTTTAGGTATTCTATAAATGGTTCAATGGGACATAATGGGTTAAATAACTCTTTTGCAGTAAGGCAATTTACATACCTGTAATCCTAGTGGCTTCAGAAACTGAGACAGAAGAATCACAAGTTATGAGACCCTGTATCAGATTAAAAATAAAAGACCTGGGGCTATAGCTTATTGGCAGAGTACTCTGCTAGTGTAGTTTGTTTCTGAACAATAGAATAAGAGAAAAGGCTTTTGGTAAGTCAGTCTTCTGCTTCTACCCTTTTGAGATGAGCTCCTAAATTTGTCATTTATTTCAGTCACTTAGTGTTGTTTATCTCTCCCCTCTGTCCCACAGGGGTTGATAGTTCTTGGGGAGGCACCTCCACCAGAACATACAGCAGACTTACTGCTTCCACTTAGTTCTGAGGTGAAGACAGATCATGGGACTGATAAATTGGTAAGTATAAAATAAAGGAAAGGGGAAACGAGTGTGAATTGAAGGTGTAACTTCAGCACACAGTTTATTCTTTATAAATAGAATGTTCCCATTGGCTAAAAGAAGGAAACTATCCCCTTTTATCACTTTGGGCATTTTGAGATCTGAATTCCTAAATTGGACAACATAGGAACCCTCTTGCTGTGTAGCTGATCTTAGAATTTAAAGGTGGTTCTTAACCCTCAAGAAACCACAGCCAGAGCAAATATGAAATTTTGGAATGTTGTTTGGAATCTGTAGACCTGACTATACCCTGACCCTTTGAGAGGTAAAATAAAACTTTTTTGGCTTACTATAATACATATAACCTTTACGTTAAAAGGTTGGACTAGAGGTTAAACTCTGAAAAATGTTGAAAATACTGTCTGTGGGTGATTCTTATTTTATAATAAGGATAAAACTATCTTCCATAATCTTCCATATCCTTAGACCCTAGATCAAATCTCCCTCTTCTATTCTTTCCCTTTCCCTAACATAATTTATTTCTTTCTGAATTCTAAGAGTGCTCATTTATTTATTATACTTTTTAAGTTTCCCTAAAAGCTAGCTGGCTTTTGTGAATATTAGCATTTCTTCATGTCAGCTCAACAACTGAGTTTGAAATTCCAGTAATTATTCATTTTGATTATGCTTCCTGGTAGTAAGCAGTAGTAACTGTTTAAATTGGGGGTTACTAGCCTGTCTCTTTATATCTGCAACTCATTAAAGCATGTTACCTTTTATATTTATCATGGTTAACAGGAATTCATATAAAATATAATGAAAATTAACTTTCTTCTGAGAAAGGTCATAGAGATGTTTGGGTTTTGAAAAGGTCTTTTACTCAGTTTTGAATGCCAGCTGCTGTTGCTATGGATAAATATAACAACATTAAGAGATCAAGAGTTCTTAACTGAGGCTGGGGATGTGGCTCAAGCGGTAGCGCGCTCGCCTGGCATGCGTGCGGCCCGGGTTCGATCCTCAGCACCACATACCAACAAAGATGTTGTGTCCGCCAAAAACTGAAAAATAAATGTTAAAATTCTCTCTCTCTCTCTCTCTCTCTCTCATTCACTCTCTCTTTAAAAAGAAAAAAATTATACACTTAAAAAAAAAAGAGTTCTTAACTGGAGGGTAGTTTATTAGAGTGCCACATTATGCCACTATTCGGATCTGTAATGTGAGTTAATTATATGCTATCAATAGAATTTTTTAAGTGACTTATGAAACTTTAATTATTCCAGCCAAGGGAAATATTGCTCAGTGAGAGAAGAATCATGGGTAAATTGAGAGGTCAGCTGATGATAATAAAGAGGCACAGAAAACTTGAGGCATATTTGATTGTGAATAAGTTCTTTATAAACATTTATATAAATGTATCATGTCTTCAACAAAATGCAAATCAGTTTTTACAAGAAAATCTACAATAAACATCAAACTTAAATTATCTGGGCCCCTAATCAATTATAAATAGTAGATAAAACAAAATGTGGGCTTGTTGAATAATGTTCCATTGTTAATACCGAAAGAACATATAGCCAGTCTTTTTTCCTTATTTCCAAACTGAATGTTCATTTTTTGGCAGAATCAATACCTGAAGACAGTACAGATTTTACTGAAATTTAAGTTGTTCTAAAGGGCCCCAGCCTGTGACATTTAGAGACTAGGTGAGCCTCTTTTGAGCCATGGARCAAAGCAAGAAATTCTCCTTGAGATAGGAGATGGCTTTGTGTTGGGAGAAGAAAATAAGATCTAATGAGGAACTCCTAAAAAGTTCCTCTTCCCCCTTCTGGGTATTTGCACAATCTTACCACTCAAGACAGTTGGAAAGGTAAGGCTTGCTAAAGAGAGACAGTGAAGGCCTATGGCTTTGTAGCTGCCAATAAAGTCTTCTGTGTTCAAATAAATAGCTGATGTGAAGGCTGTTTTTGTACAAAGAAGGTGTGCCCCTGGAAAGAAAAAAGCTGTTGAGTTGTTCTCCAGTGTTGAGAAGCATGCCCTTTTTCTTTCCCTCCTCCCTCTTCATTCCCTTGAATAGCAAACCATTTTCACCCATGTAGGAAAAAGTAGTGAAGGACCAGAGAATAACTAACTTGAAACTTATTTAAGTGAACTAAGTGAAGAAAGTAGTTTAAAATTATTCAAGAAAGACATCAAGATTTCAGACAAAAAGTATTTTCAGGAAGAAGTGAGGGCTTTTGGTCCATGTATCACAGGGTTTCTAGCATTCCACCAGAGAGCCATAGTATCATTGGCTTGTATATTGTTGGAGAATGAAATTCAGAGCTGGCCAATAGGTAGAATTTGAGGGAGGGAGTAGCGAAGAGGGAGCTACATGGGATGGAGCAAGACTTAGGCCCACAATCTGTATATAGCCCTTCAAATCTTGATCTGACTTTGAGCTGTCCATGTTCAGGTCAGATTTTTACATGGTCTAGTAGAAAGTAACAGTTGGAAGACTGAAAGAGTTGAACAGAGTTGGTTGTCGTTACTCACTGTGGGGAATGCAGAATTTGGAGTTTGGATCTCACATTGGACTTCGCATTGAAAGCATGGGGTGCTCACACTTTTGAGTTAAAAGAATGTTTCGCCAGACTAAGTAATTCACTGTAGGATTAAGGAGAAAACCAAAATATTTAAGTAGGCTTCAGTATGTTTCTTTGAATGCAGAATTACCAGTTCCACAAAATCAAGATGACCACTTAGAAAAACCTTAGCATCCTTCAGGGAAAGTGAATTGAAACCAGAGTGTCTATATAGACATATACAATAAAAATTATTATACCTAGGAATAACCAGTAAAATATGATCCTTAGTTATGAAGGAGAAAAGAGAAAATGGGACTGACACAGTTTAAGAAGAATATCACTTTGTTTAAATGAAGAAAAGTCAACTTACAGATGGAGTAAAAAAAAATTCTTTGGAGACTAGTATACATGAGAACTACTTTGTAGTCAGATGTGACAATCAAAAGTGAAGACAGTCTTAAAAGTAACCATTGGAAAAAGGTGAATTCCACACAATAAAGCATTTTTGCTCAAGATGGATGAGGCCAAAAATAATAGAATTAGATAAATTGCTCAGAGAGGGAGGTTCAATCGCAGCATAAATAAAATGTTCAGATTCCTTAAGAGATTACCAAAACTGCAGAAGTGCAGCCATCCCTTGGTATTCCCAGGGTATTGATATCAGCATCACCCCCACATATGCCAAAATTGTGGCATGCTCAAATCCCTTCTGTAAAGTGGCATATAGTATTTCTACACATGTCCTCCTATATACTTCAATCTCGAGATATTAAGTAACCTGTAGATTATGTTTAACCCCTGTTGAGAGTTCTCCAGTGTTAAGAAACATGCCCTTCTTGTAATACAATGTAAGTAATGTAAATAATTGTTAGATTGTACTGTTTAGATAATAATGACCAAAAGAAAGTCTGTATATATTCAGTATAGACATGTTTTTTTTCTGAATACTGTTTTATACTGACATACAGTGCACAGAGTTCTGATTTTGCCATTCTCAACCAATACTTTTGTTTTCTGTTTGTTTTTTGGTTGTAGTCATCCTAATGGTTGTGAGATGGTATCTCAAAGAGTAAAAATATTGAACATATTTTCATGTGGTTATTCCCCATTTATATGTCTTTTCTGGCAAAATGTCTGTTAATCCTTTTCTTATTTAAAAAAAATTTAAAGTTATTGATGGACCTTTGTTTTATGTATGTATGTGTGTATATATATGTGGTGCTGAGAATTGAACCCGTTGCCTCACACATGCTAGGCAAGTGCTCTACCACTGAACTACAGCCCTAGCCCCCATTTCTCATTTTTTAAGTGGTTTGTTTGTGAAATTCTTCATTGTTTCAAGAGTTCTACAAGTTTTGGATTTCATTCCCTATTCAGATGTGTGATTTGCAAGTGTTTTCTCTCAATCTCTGGATTGCCTCTTTAGTCTGTGTTGTTGTTATTGTTTTGTTTTGATGCACAACATTTTAAAAATTTTCATGAAATTCAATTTGTCTTTTTTTTTAATCTTTGATGTCATATCAAGAAATCATTGCCAGGTCTAGGGTTGTAGCTCTGTGGTAGCGTGCTTGCCTACCATGTATGAGGCCCTAAGTTTAATCCTCAACACCACATAAAGATAAATAAATAATATAAAGGTATTATGTTTATCTACAACTAAAAAAAAATAAAAATAATCATTGCCAAATTCAGTGTTTTAAAGGTTGTTTTTTTTTTTTTTGTAGTTGTTGCTCTGAGAGATTTATAGTTTTAGGTGTTAACTTTTAAGTCTTTGATCCATTTTTTAAATATTCTTTTAGTTGTAGAAGGACACAACATCTTATTTATTTTTATGTGGTGCTGAGGATGGAACCTGGTGCCTCACATGTGTGAGGCAAGTGCTCTACCACTGAGCCACAACCCCAGCCCCTTTTGATCCATTTTGAGTTAATTTTTAGTCATAATTTTAGAGAAGAATCACCTTCATTCTTGGATATCCAGTTTTCCCAACATCATATGGGCAGGTGTGTTTTAAATTCAGTAGTGTCATCCAAGAAACCATAAGGTCCGGGGCTTTTCTTTGCTTGCTAGATTTTTTTTATTACTGATTCAATCTCCTCACTTGTTTTAACTTTATTCAGATATTCTATTTCTTTACGAGGTAGACTTGATAGATTTTATATTTCTAGGAATTTGTCCATTTCATCAATCTGTTGCTGTGTAATTGTTCATATAGTCTCATAATCCTTTTAGTTTCTGTAGAATCAGTAGTAATATCCCCATTTTTATTTATGACTTTTTTAAAATTTTATTTTAGTTGTAGATGGACACAGTACCTTTATTTTTAACTAATTTATTTTTATGTGGTGCTGAGGATTGAACCCAGGGCTTCACAACGCGAGGCAAGTGCTGTATCACTGAGTCACAATCCCAGCCCCATATGACCTTTTTTTTTTTTCAGTCTTCTATTTTTCT